CCCTCTCTCCCATCTCCTTATCTCCTCTGCCCCCACACAGGCTTCCTGAATGTTCACTCTGACTCTGGTCTCAGGATGTTGCAGGCTTATAGCTTGGAATGTTGTGCCCTCAGACGTTAGGCATTGGCTCTCTCCTTACCTTCTCTTGGGTCTTTACTTCAAAGATACCATCTCAGTGAGACCTGCCCTGGCTAGCTTTTACAAATTGAAGAAGAAAAAGGAGAAGGACATAGAGGAAGAAACATTAAAATTGTAATAAAGTAGAAATAAATTATCTACACTCACATAACCATGGTTAATATTTTGGTGTATTTTTAGCCTTTATGTGTGTGTTTATGTGTGCATGCATGTGGATGTGTGTGCACATATCCACAATATAATGAAATTCTGCTTTTAGTCCATCATGAGCATCTTTCCATATTATTATTATTAAAAAACATTTGAGTCATGTCATACTATTCCTTGCATTTGACTGCTAATCAGAAGGCTAGTGGTTCAAAGCTCACAGCCACTCCTCAGAAGGAAGGTTGGGTAATCTATTTCCATAGTGATACCACCTCAGAAACCCAAGGAGGGGTCGCTACGAGTCAGGTCCAACTCAATGGCACATCACAACAACACAGGTATATTTTAGTTTAAAATGTCCTTGGGCACATCTGATTATATCTTTAGGACAAATTTCCAGAGTGGAGTTATTGGTTCAAAAAGTTTCTCCCTATGAGAGGACATCTGCCTGGATTGCCTGATGTAGCACAGAGCCTGGACAGCCACTTCCCAATGTCCCACTGGCATCAGTGGTTGCCATTTTCCCTAAAGTGTGTCTATTGACTAGCCATCACCAGGAAGTCACTATGGCAGTATCTGCAACTCCTGATTTTTAATGAGTGGAGAGCCCCTGCACATACATCTTTCTATTTGTGGCATGGAGCAGGGGTTGGGTAATTTGAGAGTTGGTATGGTTCTAGTCATCTGTTCAGAAATGATAGCTAGACCCGAGAGAGCAGATGACCATGGAAGAAGTATAGGGAGAAAGGTAGCACACAGAGCTCTGGTAAGGATGGGCAAAGTAAGGGGAGAAAGGACTGCAGGGGCAAGCGGGGAACCAGGTGGGTGAGCACTTAGCAGAAGAGGGGATAAGGAAGACAAATGCATTAGGCTTATAAAACAAGCCTCATTGTTCACTCATAGCTCTTCAGTGGCTCTGAAGGGCCTGCCAAGCTCCCATCCAATTTCCAGGCACCTGGGCCAGGCCTCTACCCTCCATGATCCAGGCTTTGCCCACCTTGCTGGCTTCAGCAAGTACAGGTTCCCACATGATCTTTTCCCTCTCATTTGTTTTTCCCACAATCAGACTGATGATTGTACTCTGTAGCCTGGTCCTCTGAACATTTTCAGAACTCGCTTGCTACTCATCACACTTGATACATCCAGAGTGAGGGGACAATTTTAGAGGGTTTATGAAAGGAACAGTTATGACTGTGAACAGGTGTCTTTAGGACAACTTTCCTTGTAGTGTGGTCTATCCTTCAGTGCCTCAAAGTCATGGGCTCTGTGCTTTGTTTGCACTTGTTCTATGATAAGGGACAATTGTTCATGGCTGTTCAAGGGACTGAGATCCCAGGACCCCACTCAGCACATTTCAGGGCCTCTCTCTTGCTCTAGCCTTTTTCCACTTCCCTTTCCAAAGTATAAAGCAGCAAAGGGCTCAGGAAAATGGCATCAAGAGTCCCTCAGTGCTGTCCTATCCTTGTCCTGCCATCGCTGCAGAAGTTGCTGCAGGAGGTGTTAGATGAGACAATGGGGACACAAACCCAAAGGAAGTCAAGAAAAAATGGTTATAAAGACTCATTTGCTGATATGTTCAATTCTGCCCAGATGTCATGATGTGAACAGGCCCACTACACCAATTGGAAGGAGTCTCAATACAAATGTGCCCCATGGTGAGCCAGTGAAGATCTGGGGATGAGCTCAGGTTATTTTGCTAGCATCCTAATTGGGGAACAGGCATTTCTATGCATGAGGGTTTCTATTATATCTAGGGTAGTTTACCCTCTCAGGATTATTTCATTAGTGAAAGCCAGAAGCAATCAGTGACCAGGAAAAGACTTTTTATGGGAAAAGGTTTATTTATTATTTATAAATATACCACAAAACTTAAACTTTCCAAAAATACTTTTTTCTCCCCACCCTCAAAAAAATTAATTAAAAAAATAAAGAATAGCTAACAGGTAGGCAGGATGTCTTAAGACTCCTTTGTTGTATCAAGGAGGACTCTGTGCAAGGTGTCTCGTGGCTGTGCAGCAGTACAGGGCCCTGTCCTCTCATGCATCCCCTCCTTGTACTTATGGGGTAAATGTCACTCTCTACACACAAAGAGATGGTGACCTCCACGTGAATGGGCTCCTATGTATGGGCCCTCCCACTCCCTAGAAAAAAACCACCACCACTGAGTCAATTTCTACTCATAGTGACCCCTCATTGGGTTTTGAAGGCGATAAATCTTTACAGAAGTAGATTGCCCCATCTTTCTTCCAGGGAGTGACTGGTGGGTTTGAACTGCTAACCTTCTGGTCAGTAGTCAAATGCCTTAGGCTCTGTGCCACCATTATGGACCCTCCCCATCATGGCTTTATTGGATCTACCTTCTCTAACATCTCATCTAGGATTATCTAGTATAGCCCCTCACTGTATCTGGACTATATTGTATAAAATGTTAAAAATTAATTAAAACTTATCTTCCCTGCATATATGTGTGAATTATAGAGAAAAATATGAGAACTATTCCAAAGTCAACACAGCTGACTCTGTGCTCCCCTAAAAGCCAGTCATCTTTTCTCTTTGGATATATATGTATTTTTTACAATGTGCCAAGGAGGACAAGTAGTGAGAGATGAAAATAAACCTTCTTTGCCTTTAAAGAGCTTATTCTCAGAAACAAACTTTGTCTTGAGTTGTTGAACTGGATAACAACTTTTTTCTGTAGTCATGACGAGTAGTGCTATTGTGATACCCCTGAAGACAGAGGGTTGGCTTTTGCCTGATCCCTTCTCCTCTACCTGGAATAAAGGCAAGGAGTTGGTCTATAACCAGGCTAGGTCTCTGGGTGCTCCTGACAAAGGGAAGCCAGACACACTTGCCTGTATACTTGCTCCCACAGTTCCCTAAAACATTTTTGGCCTTTCTTTAAAAAAAAAAAACACCCTTATTCTTTCCAATAGTTCTTTCTCAAGCAGTACTTATCACTTGTAGGTATGACAGATCTTCTTGGTTGAAGGACTCAGGCCCTTGCTCAAAGATGGTACCATTCTAGGTTTAAAGCCACAGGACAGAGCGTCGGGATGTCCAGATGATAAGGACGCAGTGTTTTCCTATTCTTGATAAGGCCTGTGCTCATTCTACAGCAAGAGGAGATACCAGCACATACTGTGACAAGCGATACAACTGCCTTAGGCACCAGGAACGGAGTCCAGGTTAGTAGTTTTGTGAAGAACCAGATGAGTCTGAGAGGCGCCGAGTGCCATGACACCTCACAGGGGCTCATGAGTGTTTCCACATAGTCACAAGAAAAATCAAACTGCCCTTTACTCACTACTAGGTGTGGAAAGATGTTCAACTATACCATTGAAAAGAATCATAGACATTTCAAAAATCTTCTAAACTTTGGTTGTTTTAAACAAAAAGATCAATTCACTATAAAAAAGAAATATAAATCAAGGCTGTAAGCAGCTGCTGATAATGTCCTTGGCAGTCTTTTGTGCAAAATAAGGCGTATTTGAGCTCCACATTAACTACAATGAGAAGAAAAAGAGATATATTGAAAAATATATTAAATTTATTTTTAATAATTAAAATAATGAAAATTAAATTAATATATGAAATATATGAATAAATATATGAAATTTATTTTTAATAAATTAAAATAATGAAAAACAAAAACAAAAAACAACAACCTCAAAATGGTTCTAGGGTTGTGAGGCAAAGTGTCCAAGAAATAGAACACAAGCACAGGGTGGACTGGGGCTGTGGCCTAACACTCAAAACAGAGCAAAAAACTCCCTATGACACTTGGTACTGTCAAAAAATCATCCTAGAATATTCACATTCTAACTTGCAAGGAAAACCGTATATATAAAAATGAAAATTGCTTTTGCTTGTTCAATTTGTCTTAAGATGGAAAGCAATGTACTTATTCTCTTTTCTCAACAGCTCACTTATTAGTTAAAAGAAAAAAAAGATTCGATTATAATGTTGTTGTTATATGCCATCAAGTCGGCCCCGACTCACAGTGACCCCTCCTTGGGCTTCTGAGGCAGTATCACTATGGAAGTAGATTGCCCAACCTTCCTTCCGAGGAGTGGCTGGAAGGTTTGAACCACCAGCCTTCTGGTTAGCAGTCAAGTGCCTTAGGCACTATGCTACCAGAGCTCGCACTCTTCAAAATGGTAGTTTAAAATTTCATTTTCACATTAAAGTTTATTAAAATTATATTAATCATAGGCTACCAGAGTATTCCTAATGTACTTTACAGAAAAATAACATAGATAGTGCTTCAAATTAGAAACATGGTTCCTTAACAAGTCCTTTCAGATTAAAATATTTTACCTGGGAAGATAAGTGAACCAACAGGCTTGCGTGGAGAAGGGTTAACTTGTTAAATCTTTACATTGTGAATGTACAAAAGTTTACACATTGCAAGTTCTTTAAGATAAAATAAAGTGTCTTTGAAATAGGAATGGTCATGGGCCTTCTTTTCTGCTGCCCCTCTCTGACCTGTCTGTCCTGTTTGCTCTCATTGTCTCTGGGGTCTGTGGTGTAAGTCCTGCTAGAAGGCCTGGGCTGGAGGACCCTGCCATGCAGTCCTTTGGGCTACAGTTTCTCTCTTACCCCTAGTGTTACCAGGTGGAACAGCTTAGTAGGGAAGGCATGACCCTTCAGTCAGGGCAGAGGTGTCTGAGGCTTACATCATGGCCAGACTGAGTCCTGGCAGCAGCAGCAGCCATCTACTTGTTCTCCATGTTGTAGCAATGGATGTCAACTTTCCCCTTGGTGTCATAGCCAGGGAGTGGCTGCCCATACTTGTCTACACACCAGCAGAAGCCTCGCTTTCTGCCTTTAGAAGGGCGGCACTGCAGAGAGGATTATAGAAGACCAAGAATCAGATCCCTAGCATTTCACTTGCTCAGGAGGTGAGAAGCTATGAGCTCAGGGGTGAGAAGCATGATAGACATAAGGTTTAGAATTATGGTCAATCGAGCATCCCTAGGAACAGCACATCACAGCAGCTCCTGGACTCAATCTCCTGAGACAGACACTGTGTCACCACAGTCATAAATACAAATGCTCTGGTGGGCTCAGGGTTAGAGTTATGAACAGAGAAACTCCCTAAGATCAGAGATCAGTTTCCCCTCTGCTTCCATGGAGAATGCGGTAGAAAAACCACATTGAGGCTCTCACTCACCTGCTTTTTCTTATAAAACCCCTTCTTGTCACAGTTAGGAATATGCACACCTCTAGGGCTCAGCACATTGAGGAACTTGAGGTGGTTCAGAGTGTCTTCCATTTCCCTGCGGCAAGGGCCCTGGGGATGAAGGAGTATAGAGTGACATAGTCTATTATTACTCAGGACTCGTAGATCCTAAAAATCTTATCACACACAGAGAACTATCACAAGTGGAACCTATAATGTGCTCTTTTAATTTTTGACATAGTAAGAAAGTCTATGAGGATGCTGTCTCTCCCTCCCTCTTTTTATATCTCCAAAATAAGATGTTCACCCTCATATAGTAGAGAAGAAAGGGCTCTGCAGATACCTTTATAGCATACAAAGTGCTTTCAGAAGTGTCAAATATTCCTTAAGTAATGAGTAGAGAGGTAAGGAAGGAGCTAGATGGGAAAGGAGGTGGGACAGGAGAGGCTAGAAGTTGTCCACTGCATCAACAGGAACAACGTGGCTTTGTTGACTGGGCTCTTTTGAATAAACAGTTTAATGGCTTTAAAAACCTCACAGAACTAAGTGATACTCCAGGTACCCAGACTAGGTGGTTCTTTGCATCTCCTCCTCCAACAAGAAGAAAAGTTCTTACATATTCTGTTTCCTGTTTGGACTCAGAGGAGAAGTTCTGGGTGTCTGTGCTCTGAGACTCATATTCCACTTTGTAGCGCTGGCTGTCCTTGGCATGTCCCTTCTTGATGACATCCATCTTGGTGTGGAGGGGATGGAATTTGGAGTCCAGCACCCGATGTGTGCTGGGAAGTGCCTGGTTTTCCGTGCTCCCTGCATTGTGTTCTTCTTCTGAGTCACTGGCATTTCCTTGAAGAATACAAGGGAAACAAACACACACACACACACAAAGAAAAAAATTAACAGTCATCAACATTTAATAGTACAGTCCTCTATGAAATTCTGCAATAGCAACCAAAATAACCAGTTGCCATAAAGTTAATGCTGACTCATGGTGTGTCACAATTGCACTGTGCTCTATAAGGTTTCCAATAGCTAATTTTTAGGAAATAGACTGCCAGGCCTTTCCTTTGAGTCACCTTTGGGTAGACTCGAACCTTCAAACTTTCAGTTTGCAGTCAACTGTATTAAATATTTGCACTACTCTGTCTCATTTAAGTGGAAAAGTTATTTAGCAATTTCAAATATATATTTTTAAACCTTGATAAATTATTATCCCTTAATACTAGTAGCTACATCCAAAACCAAACCAAACCCACTGCCACCCAGTCAATTCTAACTTACAGCAACCACTGTTAGGTTTCCCAGGCAGTAAATCTTTACAGAAGTAGATTGCCCAATCTTCCAAGGAGTGGCTGGTGGGTTTGAACCACCAACCTTGTGGTTACCAGTCCTGTTACTAATGCCTTAGGCATTTTGCTACCTTAGTAGCTCCTTAGTAGCTCCATGCTAGTCATTTTATCAAAAGAAGCCATCTTTTAAAAATGAAATCTTACATGTGCTTTTACTTAGAAAGTGCAACTCAAGGAGGGAACATGCTTATACTCTCAGCTTTCACCCCTCTTCCAAAAAACGGTGAATGTAACACAATTTTCATATGGCACCAGTAGATGGCGAACCAGAGCCACGGAAGGCTCCTGCTGCTTTGAGTTGTGTGCTCTCTCAGTGCTACAGGAAATTATGGCCCTAACAACCTGGGCTTTCACAATCCCTCCAGGGGTTTCTGAGGCTTCCAAAATTTGACAAGCCCTATCTTCAGTGTTACTGGGCAAACGTCTATAAGTAATCTCTGTCTGGCTCAGATGGAGAAAGTGAATTCTTATCTACACTGTGTTATTATATGTAACCAGAGTCATCTAGTGGTGTAGTGCCTAAGGCATTTAACTGCTAACCCAGAAGGCTGGAGATTCAAACCGACCAGCCACTGCTGGGAAGGAAGATTGGGCAATCTATTTCCCTAGAGACACTGCCTGGGAAACCCAATGAGGGGTCACTATGAGTGGAATGGACTCGATGGCAGTGGTTTTTTTTTTTTTTTGAGTTATCCAGGTGTATTGAGTTGTGTTGTTGTTGTTATTTGCCGTCGAGTCGGACCCGACTCATAGCGACCCCTCCTTGGGTTTCTGAGGCAATATCACTACTGAAGTAGATTGCCCCATCTTCCTTCCGAGGAATGGCTGGTGAGTTTGAACCCCCAGCCTTCTGATTTGCAGTCAAGTGCCTTAGGCACTATGCTACCAGAGCTCCCAATTTGTTTTATAGATTCCACTGCCGTATCTCTAAAAATCCATGTCCATGCAGGGTCTGGTACATCAGAAGAGTACACAAAATGTAAATCCTCGGGCACCTTTCTGGGTGGTGTTCTTCCTACCCCTCAGCGGGCACACGAGCAAAAGGAGCACACTGGTATCAAACCTCTATTCCTGTCTTACACTTATGTGTCAGAGCTTTCACGTTTTTTAAAAAGGCTAAAATCACCTCCTGCAGACTCTTGTATAATCAACAGTACTAAATGAAGAAAGCCTAATATTTGATAGTAATGTTGGAACGCTAACAATTTAACTGCAGTAAAATAAAGTACTTAGCTCCAGTTAAACTGCTGTATCTTCCCATGCCTGGGTGGAGCATGTGCTTTGCACCTTCTGTGCTGCAGTGCCGGTTCCAAAACGTGAGGCACGTTGGTAATCTCCTTCGGTTCACCTTACACTCAAGGTCAGTGTCTGTCCACCGCCAAAGGAGATTGAAAGAAGCAGCTGGCGCCAGGCCAGTCCGGCTCCCCACCCTCCGTGGGCGCACAGTTACCGGGTGGGCCCTCAGCCCGGATGCTATATAGCAGCGGAACATGCCAACCATCCCCTAAAGTGTGCATGGCGGTGTTCATCACCAAGGCAGCCTGATGGCTGGGGGCCCTACCAGGGCCTCTTGACTATGCAGTGAGAAGCAGATGGTAGCTCTGAGAATGCTCCCAGCCCCCTCTCTCTCTGGAAAGCACCTCACATCCAGGTAGATGATGCACTGGCCATGTGAGGTGAACTCCAGAGACTTGGGAGTCCCTCTCCTCTCTAGATTTCTTCATCTGTAAAACAGTACTATGAGGTCCAGGAGCAAAGTCCCCCAAGGTGTTTCGAATAGTGGTGTGCATAAATTCCAAGGGCCTGGCCCAATGCCTGAGAGAGTAAGGATTTGGTTTCAATCTTCTTTAACTTAGTTTTTTTTTTCTTTTCTTTTCTAAGAAAAGTACTGGCACAAAGGAGGCACTAACTAAACTCACTGCCATCCAGTTGATCCTGACTCATAAGCCATTTTACTACTGACCAGAAATGCTGGTGGCCTTCTGCCACTCCTGGTGGCCGACTAGCCACTCATAGAAGGAAGATTGGGCAATCTACTTCTGTAGTGATAACACCTTGGAAACCCAGGGAGGGAGGGGTCGCTGAGTCAGAATCTACTCCAAGGCAGTGAGCTAAGGAGGCACTTATATGTAAATAAATATATTTGCATTTCTCTTCCAAAAACCCTGAGTCATTTCTTAAACTTCACCGGTTTCTTTCTAATTTCCAGACTGCTGACTTGGGCATGAAAAAAGAAAAGAACTCCATTTAAGCAAAAAGATAGTTGTGCCTTTTATAAATTTACCTTTTTTTTTTTCCTAAATAAATTTTAGTAGTCACTTATTTTTATAATCTTTAATAATAAACCACAACAGCCTATAATATAGAACTATTATGGTGTTAATCATAATGCACATTAAAGTGTAACTAAAAATGACACTGTTTAGAAGAACTTCTAATAGCATATTCTGAATACCCAAAAATGGAGAAAATATTTTAAAAAACAAAAAAAAAATGACATAATTTTGCCCTAAGAGAAAAAAGTATTCAGTGATTTTTAAGTATACTAGAAGCAGTGTATACATTAAAATTCAGTCATCAAGTTAAAGTGATTCCAACTCATAATGACCCCCATTAAGTTTCCAAGGCTATAAATCTTGAAGGAAGCAGACTACTTTTTTTTTTTTTCCTATGAAGGAGCTGATGGATTTGAACCACAGACCTTATGGTTAGCAGCCAAATGCCTTAACTGCTACACCACTAGAGCAATTTTGTCTTTCTCCGGTCTTGAGATGCCTTGCCTAGAAGGAAGTATGTTATCCAGGAGGAGCGATCTGCAGCTATGGAAATTATAAAGGGTCTGTCCTTCCAACCAAGGTGGAAGTTTGGTAAGCCATTTCCTCCAGAATGGTGGAAGGAAGATGCTTCTAGCCTTCAGCTTTGCAGAGAGCCTGCAGGAACTTTCCCTCGCATCACCAAAGGAGGCTGCTTAAGTTTGCTTGAGATTTAGAGGAAGAGCTGCCAACTCCACTTTACACTTTTTTTTTTTTTTTTAAAGGGAACAGAGAAGTGCATGCCTGATAGTGGCTAAGACTGGATGAATAACGCTTTGCCAAACTTTTGCTTTTTTTCCTCTTCTGGGGCTCCCTTAAACAGAACATTTTCCCTTTCAAATTAAGAAGAGAAATCTTAATGGGTTTAGTGCAACTCCTTCTGGTGTCCCTGAAGTGCGTCTGGTTCCTGTACAGTGCCTGCAATCTCTCTCCTTCACTTGTGAGTTTGTCTCTGGGCTATGCAGTGCCGGTGGCGGTTGGGGCACACAGGTGGGAAGATACAGAAAGGATCTGAGATTTTCTTTCTGAAATGAGGTTTAAGTTCTACTTTACTTGCCTCTGGGTGGCCTTCCCCCCATTTTTCCAACTACAAATGATAATACCTGATACCCACCTTGCGCGCCCTCAGAACACACCAGGACATGATATGGCTTGGCACACCATGTTGTTGTTATGTGCCGTCGATTCAGACCCGACTCATAGCTACCCCTCCTTCGGTTTCCGAGGCAGTACCACCAGCCATCTCCTCGGAAGGAAGATTGGGCAATCTACTTCCGTAGTGATGCTGCCTTGGAAAGCCAAGGAGGGGTAGCTATGAGTTGGGTCCGACTCGACGGCACATAACAACAACAACAGCATCACTATGGATGTAGAATGCACTATCTTTAAGGCTGGGCAAACTTTTTTTTTTTTAAGGACAGGTACCATTTTACACAACATGCCGGTCCACTTTCCACGTTTCAAATATGCCCTGCGGCCGCTTCCCTCACCCACGCCAGCCTACTCAGGATAAGCTTGCTGGTCTTTTCTGAGAAATGGAAGCCATACTCAAGGGTTCCAAGGTGCGTGCCAGTTTACACGCGCTCCCGGCACCGAGGTCGTGGAGAATCAGTTTCCCGGTTTTTCCATTGATAGATAACCTCTGGGATTCGTCCTTTCCTCCCCAACGAAATCTTTTACCAATTTCGCTGACAGCACTTTGCCACTGTCACGTTCTCTCCCCTTCGGACGAAAAAAGTGCTGGACCGTCGGCAGAAGGCTGGTCTCTGGCGAGCCCCCGCCCCCGGGCCCGCCCGGCCTCAGTCTCCACCCTGGCAAAATCTGGGCAGTAAGAAGCCGGCGTCTCCAGCAGCAGCACCAGCCACCTCGTCTGCCTCCAAGGCAAGGCGGCGGAGGCTCAAAGAGGACCGCGACGCGGCCTCACCTGATGTGGGCGGTCCGTGCAGCAGGTAGGCACGCAGGCGATCCGCGGCGCTGCCGTTGGTGCACAGCCCGCGTCCATCCAGCAGCGCCTGCAGCGGACGCGGCTCATGGGGTGGCGGTTGGCAGCGCAAGCCAGAACCGCAGCGCTCGGTGTACACTCCGCACGGCTGGCCCTCATGTAACGCGCAAGTCATGCAGCAGCCGCAGCCTGGCTCGCGCACCAGTTCGGCGCACGCGGGCGCGGTGGGCGGCGGCGCGCACTGCTGCAGCGCGCGCCCATCGCACGGCTCGCAGCGCACCACGGGGCCCGCCCCCGCCGCGCCCGCGGTGGCTCGCGTAGCCAGTGGCCCGCTCAGCAGCGCCAGCGCGGCCAGCGCCACGGACCAGAGCTGGTGCGCCCGCTCCATTGCGCGAGAGGCTCGCTTAGCGGCCCGGGGCGCGTGCAGCGGCCTGGCCTCCGCCAGGCGAAAGAGCAAGCAGCCGCGGCCGGAACTGGCGAGAAGGCGCGGGCGTGGTTGGTGGGAGCAGGACAGGCACCAGCTGCAACCTCACCGTCCACGCCGCCGCGCTCGCATCTGAACGGTGGTTGGCGCGTCGGGCCGCTATATAGAAGCCGGGCCGAGGACACGCCCCGGAACGGCGCGCCCGTGTTGGGGGGGAGGGGGGGAGAGCTGGACTGGCCCGGATCGGCGTGAGGCGCTTCTCTCAAACTCCTCCGGCGGCCGACTGACGCCGGCCCATTGGTCTAAGCTGCGCGGAAGATTTCCAACCTGTCCCATGTTTTGGAACCAGAGCTGGAGCGCTGGAGGCGCAGAGCGACGGCTCCAGCCGGGCACCTGCTCTCGCGCGCTCCCGGTCCTCCCGCCCTGGAGCCCAGCTTCCCTGTTGCTACCCCGGCTCCGCCTCCTCGCGAGGGTCTTCAGAGGCGGGTCGGGCGAGTGATCCGTGGCCACCCCGGCAGGTTCGTGCACCTTATATCGTGGTCAGCGCATCTGCCTTACTGATGCGTACTTTTCCCAGTGTTTTTCGAGGGCAGTAGTGGGAATTTCTGAGTGTCACTGCCCGTTTTTCGTTACTGGGTCGCGGCAAGCTGAGACGCTCCATGTTTACACCTTCGCAGGACCACAGATGAGCTGCCCAAATGTCTGTTCATGGCCTTTGATGCTGTAGAGGGTGACTTCTCTAAACCCTACCAGCCAAGAGGGCCGAAAGCGAGCGTGTCCTCAAGAGGTTTTCACAACCATTCTTGTTTTGACTATTCTCTTGATTATTTATTCAAATAAACCTCATTTTCACGGCAAAAATAATAAAAGAGAAGGCAGTCACTACTGAAGCGTAATAACTATATAATCTTTAAAGAAGGTCTGGTAGCATAGTGCCTAAGGCATTTGACTGCTAACCAGAAGGGTCGCTGTTCAAACCCACCAGCCGTTCTTTGGAGGGTAGATTGGGAAATCTACTTCCGTAGATAATCCTTAAAATTGGTGCTTTCCCTCTCTCCTTATATTTATTTGAAGGGAACTTCGTAACCCTTATTAATTTCTTCTGTTGCTTTGAAGTGAGGACTGTTTGGGACTTTAACTAATCTGTGTAATCTAGACACGTTGCAAACAACAACAACAACAACAACAACAAACCAGGAGAGCTTAAATCGAGGGGCGCAGTTCGGAGATGGTAGAGTACTGTGGGGCCGCTCTTCGAGGTATGCGGGGCTCTGATTTCGTCTCCACGCCTATTCACAAAGTGAACGACAGAGGGCGCTAGTGGCCCATGATTGAATCGAGATTTCAACCTTCCAAGGCTCCTTTTTGGAGAGCACGTTGATCAGCTGTGGGAGCAGGTGAGATCACCAAGGGAGAAAACGTCCCTGGCGCTGCTGAGGTTACATGCCCTGTGACGTCAAGAGGTGTCTTGGAGGGGCCCTTTGAAGTTTTCAATTGTTGTTGTTTGAAGTTTTCAATAGGAGTTGCAAATCCAGACCCCCTTCCAGTTCTTCTCCACCCTGGCAATACCACCATTCCGTAGTTAACATAATGGAGTTAACATATGTGCAGCCATTTCTAAACCATCCATCCCTTTTCCTTTTAGAGGGAGACTAATTGAGTCTTACTTTATTACATCAGATAATAAAATATATTGAAAAACAAATTAATTGAGCCTCAGTAGAGTAGGAGCTCTGGTAGCATAGTGGCTAAGACACTTGCCTGCTAACCAGACGGCTGGCGGTTCAAACCCACCAGCCACTCCTCGGAAGGAAGG